AAAATATTTGATCAACGACCAACTGCTTTGTCTCCGAGTTTCTTCGAAGTCTTTTTGTTGAAAGTAGAATTACATTATTCTATCGAAAAATTCATTCTCCGTGACAGTTCCCATTGTAAAGGCAGCTATAACAATAAAATCGAAGTTTCCGATCTGTATTCAAAGACAAAGCACGATTCACACGACACACCTATGGAGGAACTCGTTTTTATCTTTCATAGAATATCGTTTGAAAGGCGAATCAAAGTTTCTTATCATGCAAATGGAACACGATTCCTTTCAGCAACGTCTCTTTCAGCTTCGATAGTCAAACGACATCTCCATGTTTTTCACCATCTTTTTTTTTTCCTTTTTTATCATCGAACAGTTCCGTAGATCGCCATAGGCAAGTGCGAACGTTCCAATGACGATTGACGTCACGCAACTCGACGCAAGGTGGCAGTTTTGTGTGTCACATCTAGCGTGTTAAATCGAACGGAATCGACAACGTTCGAGTTCCGTGAAATCGTTGCGATACTGTAACACTAGAACTATCGATAGCTATTTAGCTATACGCCTTAAGCGATAACTACACGAAGCCATTTCTACGAAAACCAGTCAAAATAACTGGTCTTTTAGAAATACCTAATAATAAAATATTTTTATATTTGTTGGTTTATTACTTTCTTACAGAAGCAATTCCATGTTATGTAGTAGATTTTTCGTATTATTAATCCATCTGGCACCATCATCTCTAAACGAGGATTGACATATTTATAAAATTGTAAAACCAGTCATTTTGACTGCTGTGGTATTTCTAGTGTTAGCATTTAGCGATTTAGCGATCGATCCGGAATTTTCCTGGTAACTGATATCGTCATATCGAATGACACGTACAAATTTTGAAAACGTGTGACAAGTTGTACAAAACGAGGAAACTGGTTAATTGGGGTCGATAAACAGATTGCAGCACCCTCTTACGCTTTGACAAGAACCAGTTATATCGACTGGTATTGATATAAGTAGCCTTGATACAAAATTATTTTCAGTTTGAATACATAAAAAACAAAATAGAATTCATTATATTATTCTTTTAGCTATCGTTGCGAAAGTCGTTACGTCATTGCGGAAAAAGATATAACGCGAAGTAGGAATTTTAAAATGAAATTGTAAAACCAGTCAATTTGACTGGTGTGGTAGTTCTAGTGTTAAACACGCCTAATTTCCCCGGCACGTATCTATCCAATGAATCATGGCAACGACGATTACATGTTAACCGGTTGCTATCTTTCTACGTGACTTGTGGCAAATCACCTTCGACTTCGCCATCCACCAACTCTTAATAAATTCACGATGTTATTATAGTTAGCAGCGCTATTACGAGGTCGCGGTTTTTACAGAAACACTGGCAGGAAATATATTGGATTGGCAACTAAGTGGTTGCGGGTTTTGTCAATACCATCTAATGAGAAAATCAGCAATCACTTAGTTGCTAACCTAATACATAGACTAGAGTTAAACCGTTCATTATCGCGAGCAATATCGCGTATAACTTACGACACGTCTATTACTGTGACAAGGTCGTCGTGAAATCTGCAATGTCCTCTGAAAAACGATTCCGGTTGAGATCGGATCGGCTACGATCGAGTTCGTGCTCAATAGATCGCGTTCGTGTACTGTATGTACAATCGATGGATAAACGAGGATTCATCACGTTGATTAATTAACATTTTACCGACCGATAGCAGATTAATCGGTTTTTCGTCGTCGACACTTACCGACCGGCTTTTTGTCGCCGACAATTTTTCCCATTATTCGAACAGTAATTTGTTATTTATTACTAAAGTACCTTGCTTAGTTGCGTCAGTTGCGTTGCTTCCACAGTTTTATACCAATTTGAAAAACATACCGTTCGCGATGAACGAAAAGAATGGTATTGGAGAGTCTAAACCGAAACAGAGCCAGCGCCAGGGAGAATCTGCGCCTGAGCTGTTGGTCGGACATGCATCATATGCTGTTGATCCGCTAGCAGTCGGTAAAGTGTTAATGAAGCGATAGGAAGAAATAGGAACACTGATGTAGCGTTTTTCTGGAGCAATGCCATTTCTTGAATATTAGGTTGGCAACTAAGTGATTGCGGAGTTTGTCATTAGATGGTAATGACAAAAGCCGCAATCACTTAGTTGCCAACCCAATAAGATGTTGTATTCTTCGATTACTTTCATCCTACGAAATAGACGATTCGCTAGAAACAAAAAGCAGCTATTGTCGAGTTTTCTGATTTTCACTAACACGTAACAACACAACAGTGGAATCAATAGTATAAAAAATCATTTGTGTCATGACTTATTGTATTATTGAGTGAGAATTATCTATTGAGTTGGCAACTAAGTGATTGCGGGTTTTGTCGATACTTCCTAATGACAAAATCCGCAACCACTTAGTTGCCAACCTATTACTTCTATAAAAACGATCTGTCGCGAGAGTTACAAGTTTGCGATGTAATTAGAAATAATTGTACGATATAAATACGCGCATAGTGATCGTGTAAGATGATAAATATTTTGTTTCGAAAGATTGGGAGGAATATATCGTTGAATGTATCGAAAACAATGTATTGAGCAGCAATTATGAATGTTATTGCATTCCTTTGTTTTCCTGGAAAAGCACGATTAAGACTTGTGATTTTCTGTCGATAAGACCTTCGATTTCAATACACAGAGAGAACCACTTACATCGATAATTTACAAATACCGCAATCTCGTAAGAAAATAGATGGTTTCATAGAATTCAGACGATGGAAATCTCACTGTCGCGAAAAACGGATACGAACGATGCATAGGGTGCAACCTGATCCAATCGTTGGGAATAATCGACGCGAGGGTGGCAGATGGTTTTAAGGGACCCAAACGCGGAAAACAATTTCTTTTCGTGGCAAATATTTTACTTCCAAACAGAGCACAATGACAGCCTATGGTCGAATAGCGACACAATGGTTTCGTGGGTTTAACAAGGAAAAGCCTTGCATTTTGTGGAAGTGGCCTTTTCACAAAAGTATCCCGTTCACGTGGCCGTGTTCTCTGGTTTACACACCACCTCGATTTTTTCAAGAGGCGCCAACCCTCGAAACCGCGTGCTATCCATCGAAAAATATTTACCCATGGACATTTATATACCACGTTCCTCGACGATTTTCCATTTTCGAAAAACTTTTCTCAAGGAGACGTGTGACATATATCGATAAAAATCTCGTGTTTTTTGATCACATTCTGAAATATCGAATTGCCAGATATTCTTCAACCCTTTGTACTGTGCTATGTCGAGTATGATCAGTGGACATCAGTTTTTATCTCAGCAGCTCCTTTGTCGAGTCCCAGTCGACATTGTTTCACATCCAAATCAATAGATTGCATCCTGGAAATTGTTTCAACATATATCATACATTTAAAAATTAGAAAGTACAACAATAGTGTGAATAAAACTGATATTTAAATGAATTTCTTTCCTCCCTTGTTTATTTAAATTCTCTTATTTTTTAGTTAAAGTAAATTTAAATAAAATTTAAATAAAATTGCCAGTGCAAAGGGTTAAAGATAGTAAATCGAGGTCGGCGAAAATTGAAGAGGTTAGTCGCGTGCGATGTGAACGTTACATTGTCGTACAATTTTCAGTGTATACATATGTATTGGGCTTCTAGTAGATCACTGCTTCAAATTAGGACCGTCGGACGTCAGCAAGGGTTAATTGCAGCTATTTCCATGATAAAAGGAACGTAGAGCAAAAGACTGCATGAATCACGCAACTAGATTCTCTAGATGCAACCTAAATTTCATTTATAACTACTAACAACGACCACTTTTACTTCGATAAACTACACAGCCACCTATCGCAACATTTTCTAACCTATTAAATCGGCAATCAAGTGATTGCGGGTTTTGTCATTAGATAGTAATTACTTAGTTGCCAACCTAATATATGAATCGCTTAATCCTCCTTCGAATAGATTGAGGTTAGAAATTCTACTGTGCTTAAGCGACTGCTGCTATTTCGAACTGAAGCTACATTTAAATTAATCTCACACGAATACAATCACTTTTCTATATAAATTCGTGATATTAATTTCTGTCGATGTAAATATCAAGTGTTTCATGATCGAAGCAATTCGAGATTATGAAGATATCGAATTGCACGTAATGTGCAAAGAAACATATAAAATATCCAAAGTGAAATGTTATTTAGGTTGCATTTGTTAAAATGTGACACTGCATAAAGATCGACAGTCCATTCATAATTCCGCGTTAATTTACTAATTGAACTAGTACACTTTTATAGTATAAAAGTACAATTGCAAGATCGTTTTCCTACAATTGCAATTAACCGTCGATACAAGCTATCGCACGCTTCTCTTCGGTAACTAAGTGATTGCGGATTTTGTCAATAGATGGTATTGACAAAATCCGATAATACCATCTATTG